TTGTAGAACTATTTAACGACTGTTATTGTTATTTTACTGAGTATTTTCCTTAAACTACACAAAAACAACAATGCTATTTTAAAACAGTTTTATCAGTTATTGTTATTGATGTTATTGACAGTAGAAAAATTGTAGTTGTTATTTTATTGACAAAAAGTTTCAATATTGGACTTCCCTTGTATTGTGAATGCATTTTTATATCATACACCTCACTGTGGTCAGGTGCTTTTGTTTGTAACATAGAAAAAGAAGCAAGATATACCCATATTTATTTTTTATGGTCTACATAGAATCACATTATGAGTCGATTTAAGCATGCCTGTTCGTCTGTCCATGTATTTTTGTAAACAAAGTACAGTACATGTCAAATAGCGCCCATATATATTGTTCCTATTTGGTTGCAGCTATTAGATACAGCATAGAAATACCTCAGTTAAGTAGAGATCGGTTCAGATTTTGATATAGCTGCCTTATATATTTTCATCCTATTTCACGTTTGTTGTGCATAAAAAGTGTAGTAGCAGCTCAAATAAGATGGATTCCGATGAATTTCGGTCCAGTCCGTCAAATTTAGTAGAAATTGGTTAAGAGGAGGATATACGTTTTGTTGAGTAGTTTAATGTACAATATATATTATTTATTTATTTTTATATTTTCTTGGTATTGGTTTTTTTGCATTATTGATCGTTTATGCTCCATTGTCATTATGATTTTTTCAACCAACTTAGGTGAAGTTTTTAGCGATAATAGTTTTTTGTTGAATCAGCTATGGAATTTTAGGAAAGTTTTTAATTTTGGGCATGTAAATCTTAGAAGTTTTAACTTAAATAAGAATTCGTTTAAAATCCATTAATTGAGAAATATTTTAGAGGGGAGGTTAAAACTTACAATTTTGAGGGGAGCCATAAAAATACCAAATTACATTTCTTACAGAAGTTATAGGCATGGTAGCAGAGCAGGTTGTTTTTTTTTTTGTATGTTGTACAGAATATGATTCCTAAACATGTGTGTAAAGGAAGTTCTCATGGAGATGTTAAATATGCTTTTGTGAGGTTATTGTTAATAACAGTGTTTTCTTAATTGGTGTTGTTTATTTGCCTCATGGTGATTTATTGGCTTTGGAAGATGAAATTTCTGATTTTATTACCACAAGGCTTTATCCCTTTGTTATTGTTTTTATAAAAACAACGTTTGTTTATTCGTGGACTTACCCCCTTGTTAACATTACCATCTTTCTCCACTTATAAACAAACGTTGTTTTTATAAAAACAACAATAAAGGGATAAAGCCTGACCATTTTGCAGCTGTTCTATAAATAGACATGGTACGGTCGACGAAGGGGGTTTTGTTGTAACAGACAAAACAAACTTACATGGTTATGCTACTTCGTTCAGGTTGAACGAAAGCATAACAAGTGGAGAAATATGTAAATGTTTATAAGTACGGTTGTAAGACTTAGAAGACTTTCCAAAAGAATTTTAGTTTTATTTAATTCTTTGAGTCCTCTTCTATTGAGCTTACGATCTCGTCACTTGGGTAAAACATGTTTTTGTGTCATATAAGTTATTTTTAAAATAACATCTGGGGACAATATCCCAGACAAAAAACAAGGGAACTGATGAGGATTGGTGGCTCTTTCCGGAACCTATGTATTCCCGGCTTTACCACCTGGTAAACATTACCACCTTTCTCCATTAATAAACAAACGTTGTTTTTATAAAAACAACAATAAAGGGATAAAGCCTGACCACTTTGCAACAACAAAAGTTAGAATATAAAAATGAGCGTTGACTATTGCACCCATCTTTTCTGGTTGGATTGTCTGATAATATAAGAAATTCTGTCAGTACTGGTGATTGTTGTGTTTTACTATCACTTGATTTGGAAAAGACATTTGACATGATTAATCATGCCAATTTTATCAGTAAGCTACATCGTGTCTTCAATTTTTCGTCCTCGGCTTGTAAGTTAATGTTTTCTTATTTGTTCGGGAGAAAAAAGTATCCCAGTCAGCATTTTTTGAAATTTTTAATCACATTCAAGTCTTTTTTGATCCATTTGCGCGATTAAAAAGCTGGCATATGAGCGCATTTTCTGATCATAAAAAACTCATTTGTCGGGAGAAAAACGTGACCTCCCGCGACTCTTCTAAATAAATCACATATGAGTCTTCCCCTAGATTAGTTAAGAGTCTTTTTCGACCATTTTCTGATCTTTCTACGAGTCTTTTTCGAGTCGTTTTCTAATCATTTATTGCGCTAAAACGCTTAATTTGTGAATCTTTTTCGATTCTTTTTAAGTCATTTTTTGATCAATTATGAGTCTTAAGTGGGTAATTTATTAGTCTTTTAAGTGCCATATATTACTCATATGTATATTCATTTAGGAGTCTTTTATGAGTCCCCTTTGTCTTAAATTCGAGTCATTTATGAGTCTTATATGAGTGTTTACGATTCTTCGAATCACGTACGTGATTTCTAAATATTCGGATGTACCGTAAAAAAAAGAATTTAGTCATATATGTTCATAAAAAAATTTATTTAAAATATAAATAATTCAGATTTTATTGTATTGATTGTATAAAATATAGTAAAATATTAAATAAGAAAATGAAAAAAAAAATAAAAAATGAAAAATCAAAAAATAAAAAATCAGAAACTGCAATCCGGCAATCTATTTGTAACGCGGTCTCTAGCATGAACAAAATGTTTTTGTAGGATTGTGTTCATATCCCTGTCGTTGCTTGAATATTTGAGATGACACATATTTGAAATAAAATATGTACAAGTCTGTCCATTTTACTAATTCTTTATATACGTGTTAAAAAGACAAACTTACTTAATGATTACTGTAACTAAATAACACTTTCCTGCACTCAGATTTACCCTGTCCCCTTCCAGCTGTATTGGCAGGCTAATTTATCTGAAAAAACCTTTCGGTTTTTGCAATAAACTCTTTCTGGAAATAGATTATAAAAAAAATATAAGTATTAATAGTTTATATAGTAGTGAATGAATCAATCAAATACCCAATTTTCTATACTTACAATTCAAGTTCTGTCTCATATTGCTTCAGCAATTCACGTTTCTGGACATTTTCTTCATTTTTCTCATATTTAGTTTTACTTTTTTTTGTTACAAATTTTTTTGCAGAATTAGTTTTTATTTTAGCCTTTTTCTTTTTTTGTAATTTAACTTGCTGACATTTTCTTTATAAAAATTAATAAATAAACAAAGAGATAAACGTACACTTTTTCATATTTTTTTCACTTTTCAATATTAAACACTTTTGCTGTTGACGCCTCCATGCACTTTTTATAAATGAACAGTAATTCAACTTTTTGATAGTCAAAAATCTAAAGTTATGTTTTTTGGGAACTTGCAAGAGGATTCAATAAACCTTTCTATTTATAGGACGCCTACAAATGTTGTAAGCTCGATAAAATGTCTTGGTTTGTTTCTTGATACTGGTTTGGTATTTTATGTACATGTGAATTCTTTAATGTCCAAGGTAAACTTTATTTTACTTTATAAAATAAATATATTAGTTCCTTTCGGCTTATCATAATTTCCAAATAAATTCCCCACAAAATCGTTTATGTTTTATGGGTATCTCCACTAAATATGGACATTGGTGTAGGGTTACTAGGTTTACTGGTTTGTCTTAAATAATTTTAAACTTAAAAGCTTTTGAAAGTTTATCGACAATTTATAAACATTTTTACAGAATAGCATTATCGTTACCACAAATAACAAAATTTATTTATTATATAAAAAATACTAAGATAAGTTACATTTCAGAATAGGCCTGCAGGAAAAAATTGTCTAAAAGCTCTAAATTTCTTCAAATGGAAAGGTAAAGCTATATGCCGACTATGCCGAAAAGTGGACTTATCTTCACAATTTTTGTGTAACATTATTCCTTATTTACTGTGGGGCTTCGCTAAAGAATTAGATTGATTAGTTATATATAAACTTTTTGTCACATGTGAGACCACTGTACAAGGGTGTGGTATGGTTAGCAGACTACATGCTACATTGGATTTAGATCACACCTTTGGCATTAGTTCGCTGGAGTTTGTTTTTTAATTGGGCTAGATTAGACAATGTCAATTTATTTACTAACAATGTCAATGTCATTTATTTACCTTGTAAGAACATTTGCACATCTTTTATCTACCTGAGTTATACGTTTATTTATAAAACATTGTCGAAACAGTTACCTTTGCCCACATTTTAAATTTAGTGATATCGATGATAATATTTCGAAATCAATCATAAATCTATATGGGCACTACATATATTTTTATCGACGTTGTTGTAAAAATTACTTCTATACCGAAAAAGGTCTAGTTTTAAATCACATGCACTTCCCTGAAAAAAACTTGGGGAACTATACAAGCCAAATAACGCCTTTAAAGCTAATGTTAACAAACAACCTTCGGCATAGCCATAATGCAATAACGGGAATTTTTCAATATTTTTGATTCAACTAAAATATTAAATCCAGTAATGTGGATGCAAATCAAGTTTGGCCAAAATGTAAAAAATAATGCACTTTCATGAACCTGCATATACTGCTTGAAAAAATGGCAATTACAACCTTGTATAGAAAAACTTTAAATAATGTAAAATCGGTGGACTCCATCAATGTAGGCTGTCCAAAAACAGGAATAACATGTGTAGTTAGATTCTTATATCAATATGTTGATATAGACTGACACTTGTTATCCTATTGTGAGGATAAAGTATAAGTAAAGTTAAATAAGACTTCGTGTTAGATTAGACTCTTTGGATAAAATCCGGAACAAACTTTTACGTACAATCTTAAAATTGGCATGGGTTTAAAGTAATTGCCTTGAAAGACCCTTTAATTGAATCTCCTAAATTTATATAATTTACTTGTAACAATGTTGTTATTGTAAAATTGTTAGTTTATAATAAATTTTTAAAGATATAAAAGTTATCTCGGTTATTAAACTTCTTTTCTTTTATTTCTAGGCTTACGAATTGTCCACGTTAACTGGTACACAAGTTATGCTTTTAGTTGCTTCAGAGACTGGTCATGTGTATACATTTGCAACCCGCAAGTTACAACCAATGATAACATCAGAAGCAGGGAAACAGCTTATTCAGACGTGTCTAAACTCTCCAGATCCGCCTAGTGTTGGTGGCGGGGATCAACGTATGTCAGCGACAGGCTTCGAAGAAACCGAACTCAGTTACAACATAGCAGATGAGGACTCAAAAGTAAGACAATTAATTTATGGTCATCATGGTCACGCTCATCTAGGGCATCCTCAGGCTCCCGCGTCTCATTACGGTCTCGACCAAAGTTTAATGCAATCCCCATATAGTGGAGGCCAACCTTCCCCATTATCCCATTCGCAAGCATATGCGCATGGACATGCTCATCATTCGCACGTTTCACACGTGCCTCATTCAACACATTCCCATATGTCCCACACGCATCCCCAGCGGTAGGAGTTTTGGTATCACCCATGCTTAGTAACAATTAAAATGTAGGACGATAACGTGAGAAATATTTCCCAACACATTATGTACACACTGTTACATATCAAGGGCATATTTAACTTATAATTCAATGTTGAGTTTCAGAACATGAGTCACTACGTATCGAGATTCAATTTGATATTTATACTCAAATCAATTCTTATGAGGCTAAATATCGGCCCATCGCATTATTAATATAATCATACATACCCATTGCTACACAATAATACGAAAAATGTACTTGACGATCTCGCCCTACACATGATATACATAAGATGTTAGTGTAATCCAAAAAGCATTTATTGATAGACATATATACGTACATATATGTAAATAATAAAAATAAAATAGATATCTGTTGATACATACATATATGTATATGTGAATAATAAAATTATGATGCCAATGCCCGAGCAAAACTTAACATTTTCCAGTACAACCCAAACTAGTCATTTTTGATGCTATTTCCCTCTTGGTCTTAAGGGAACACAGATCTAAGAAGTTAGCACAATGATCGCTGGGTCTATTGAGTTTTTGGTAGACTTCAGGTCCTTTTGCAAATATCAACCGATGAAGGTGAAATCATACTACTTTTATAGATATTTACACACTATTTCAATAAAATAAAACAAGTGCCATATTTTATCTATTAATTGAAACATAGTAATATATGTATATATATAAATAATTAAATAAATAAAATTGATTCTGCTTTAGTAAGAACATTATTTTTTTCGCTCAATGTGCCATTCAACATTAGCTTTTTTACTGTGTCATTCCACTACATGTTTATCTCCCATTATATATGTGACAAGATTAATAATGGATATCCAAAAATTTTACTACATCCAAAAATAGTGCCATATTTACGTAATAAACTAATATACATTTTTAAGGATTGATTGTGCAATTATGTCATGATAAGAATATAACATTAATTCCAAGCCCTAAATAGTTTTTTTTTATATTTCTACTTAAATATGTTGTTACTAAATGGGTATGTCAAGTGAAAATAAACCCCTGGGTGCCAAAGAATTCTGAAATTCTCTTGGTGTTAACGACAAATATTGGTAACAAACAAAATTCAAAATCGTTGATTTTATTTATTGTTTTGCATCTGCCGATAACTGTCGTTTGTAGTTTCCGCGTTTCACTTTACTATAGAAAGGAGGCCATTTAACGCAGCTTTACGCTATTTTTATTTCTAAAATTAATTTATTGTAATCTACGCAAAAATGATGAGCGTGTACCCATGCATTATAGTTAATAATGCTACGTCTAAATAGATAATAAACTACAAAAATAGTTATAACATAAATACATTTTTAGATAGATAAATATTATATTTTGGTTTTGCATATCAATTAGTTGCATGCTCTTGTTTAAAGTATAATCCAGTTCCCAGTAAACTCGATTTAGTTGTTGAATCTCATTGGATAATTAACCATTGGGAGTGTATTTTGCTCTCTGCATTGGATTTATCAATGATTACATTATAGCATTACAATACAATACATATTTATTTATATTGGTAGATAATTGTTTATTATACAGGTATATGAAATGTTAAAAAATATTTGAAGAGACAAAATCATGAGAATAGTGTTGTTCTGTCAAACAGAATCCATATGTATCGTAACAAGATAACTCTAAGACAACTGTATATTGCAAATTATAAATACAGATAAACTAATTATAGTTTTTATATTAGTATATACAACAACAGATAGTGCAATTTTATTTTTATGAGAAATTACTGTATTCGTATATATTTTCAAGGACTTCGCTTTCCACTGATGTTCATTAACAAAAATAAGAGTAAGTATATATACAAAGATAAATATCACATGCAGTCTATCCAACAATCATTGAGATGAATTTGAATAAACGTATGCGGCGTGTGGGAAGGTTTTGGTTTCAAGATCAAGGTTAAAATTATTTTTATGAATGTAATTTTTTACAAATGTGAACAGATGTGGCTAGCCACCTGTGTGGGGTCAAATAAACTTATACAAACACCTTTGCATTTATTTACATCACTATAGCTATACAGGAAAACCAGAATGACTTCAGTCATTCTGTAACATAAACTTCTTGTTTGTTGGATTTTTAAGAAAAACAAAAACGGTGACGTCACAATCAAATAAGTCCCAGCATGCGGGTGCAGAAAAAAAGTATCGCTGTAAATAATAGCAATAACACATACTAACCTTAAATCTTACCGCGATTGAAGAATAGTTTTTCGTGGGCAATGCAAACGAGTTGAATGTGTTTTAATGAATGAAACAGAGATTCGAACGTAAACAGCCTATAAATTCAAACACTTAAAAAACATCACTTGAAGTGGGCGTTTTGCGTAGTAAATTTGTGGGATTAACATTTGTTAATAAGCTGTTCTGAACCGATTAATAATATTTATCCAGAAGAAAAATCACTTACAGTTTGTCAATTTAGTTTGTGATTTAGATATATATATATATATATATATATATATATATATATATATATATATATATTTCTAAATTACAAACTAAATTGACAAACTGTAAGTGATTTTTCTTCTATATATATATATATATATATATATATATATATATATAGAAGAAAAATCACTTACAGTTTGTGTATATATATATATATATATATATTAGACAAATATTGGGGTACATCATGGTTGAGATTTGAGCTAAAGTTAAGGAGAAATTTTAAAGAAGAAGAAGGGAAGAAATTTTAAGAAGGAAAAATATTGCCAAACTTACCTTTTCTAATAAAGAAAACTACATTTAAGTATGCGATGCGATGATTTCACTGCCCCCATTTCCTTGAGCTCTGCCGAAGTCATGAAACATCAGATCATTCAATCATTTCAACCAATCCCTTAATCTAAACACACAAAAAAAGTAATTGTAGGGGTTTTATTTATAAACATATTTAAGAAAACAAATTGTCCGAATACGGTTAAATATTTTCAACTATCATATAAATTGAGTTTAAAGAAAATGTGAAAACCAGTTTTGTTTTCCGACAAAATGACTTGCAATTATTTTGATTCGCAAAAAAGTTGCCCATTCAATATGACATTTTGTTATAGATGTTATATAAAGGCGGACCCTATTGAAATTGGAGAAGAATATTTCTAAGTTGGTTATAGCTTCCATACATAACATACCCCGATTGCATCTTTATTGTGTACCAAATGCGTAATATCCGATTATCAGATTAATCTGCTTTAATGCGATGAATTTCGAGTGAAATAAAGATCACATTAAAGTATTTTGTGAACCCATACACGTCCAGATATACTACTTTCAAATTTGGAATGCGGTTCAATTTAAGATATATTAGCCGAATCCAGAACTTTGCTGCCAGCAAAGCATTAAAAATACAATTGTAACTAAATCATCATAGAAGACTAAGATTTCATTGAGATCACATTTGTTCATTATATTTTTGAGGCTAAATACGTATACACTTTGATAGCTAGCTTATATTATACATGGTACAATTATTTTTCAGTTCATATGTTTTTTAACATTTGGCTGTAAAATCAGCGAAAACCCACAAATACAATTAACTAGATTTCAGCAATATGTGAATAAAATATTATCGACAAATATTTTACGACCATGAAAAAGCTAACTAAAAATATTTATGAACACACTAACCTAAAGCGGCTATGAAACAAAGGATCGAAAAGTATTTTTTAAATGATAACCAACAAGGAAAAGTCAAAAGCCCATTTGAGTTGATATTAACCATTATTTGCACAATAAACCTGAAATCGTATTAAGGATATATGTGGAAGCTATGTTCAAACTTTAGCCTTTCTCGATAAAATTGGCAGATGTATTTCTGGGCTGTATCTGATTACTGGTACCAAATATCATTGTTGTCGAATGCATATTACTCATGTGAGGGACTTAAACCCTCAAATCGGATGAAACACATATATGGGAGCTATAGCTATACCTGAACCGATTTTCAAATTTGATTGATTTGAAGTTGGTAGCTTCATCTGATCCGTCCATATCAACTACATATTTTAACGAGCGTGGAAAAGACAAAGTCATGCTCGTCATGACAATATGATACCCTACATTGCTATGCATACTTAGTAGAGCTTCTGGTAAAAATAATTTGTGTATTTGTTTGAAGTAAATAATATCAACAATGTTCTTTGTTAAATGCCCAATTCGCCTTGAAATCGGATGGAATATATGTACGAAAGCTATATCTTAATTTACAAAAATAGATTTTAAATAGCAAAATAAACAGGAATATTTCTCTTGTTTGTAATAACATAACAGTTCTTAGCTGATGGTGGAGGGTATTTAAAGTTTGGACTAGCCGAACTTAATGTTTTTTTTTTTCATTTATGACTTTGCAATTCCCTCTTTCTGTCTATCTATTTCTCTATTTCATTTAAACTCAATTTTTGTGTGTGTTATTTGTTTTTTTTTTTTTTTGTATGTTTCTTATGGGCACGAGAACGGCTCATTTTATTTTCCTGAAACTGTTACAAATCATTCAGAAATTTAGTGAGGTGAAAATAGGCTAATCATTTCTTAGAAATGCAAACTAATGAACATATTACATTATTCCTAGGATGACTGATATTGACAACGGTACATATATACCGTTGACCTTTTTTGGTATACTGCTTCCATCTGACATTGTTCTTTTTGATTGTTTCTGTCATAATTGCCGACTGAATGAACTCTAATTTTCATAATTTTGAAATTACTTGGATAACAATAACTGTTTACTGATTTCAAGTATTTTGTGCTTTAAGAAGAATTTTCCAATTTCAATTAGAATTTTTGGTTTTCAGGCTTACAGGTTATTTTTTGTATAAATGATTTTAGTCCTGATGTTATAATTTTAGGTTCTCATTGGGTGAGAATTTAAGGTACGTATAGTAATAGTAGATCCACGCTTTGATTTAAACCCAATGTAGCTATTGTACACCAATTTGTTTTTCCATACTTTTTTCAACTGTTTTATCATTGTAAAATGTACAATTCAATTAATTAATTCTATCTGAAAAAATGTCAAGCAACATAAGTAATTGATAAAATATAAAACAAAACAGCCTATAGAACAACTAGCCTAATTAATAAATCACATATATTAAAAAGAATACATCAACTGTTTATAATAGTCCCATGTAAGATGGTTCCCTACCCCGAAACATTGACATTGAAAAATTTCCGCGAAGAGGTCTTCTATCCCCTTAGAAGGTAAGCTTCTTCATATAACCCCTACAACTGTATCAAATTTGAAACTCTATCGTAACTTTTGCGGAGTATAGAGCAAAATATTTGAGGTCCTTTGTGTATGGTTGGGCTATATAAAATAGACCCTAAAAACGTCTGACCCGAAAACCCCCTTTTGGGATTGTTATCTACCAACCGAACAATTTCCCAAGTGTAATTTCCCGCAGTGTAATTGCTGACGATAGCGCATAGTTCCCGTATAACGTTACATGTGAGTTAAGGTTACTTTTAAGGGTTTTACTTTAAGAATTTTGCGAGGATATGAATCCTTTTCTTACAAAATTTTCAATTCGCTCAACTATTTTGTATAGTCCGCATATTAGAGTGCCCTTCACATTCGGGATTTCACTGATTGCAGTTCCAATGAATTTTGCATTTTGAGTTCTCATTGGATGGTTTATTCCCATATCTAGTCAATGTTTTGGAACTTAGACCTCAGAATCTACAGTAATTTATAAATTGAAATCCTGGCAATATGACTTTAAATTAACTATCTTAAATAAAGTTTCATCGATTTATAAAAGTTAGGGACCCCATAAAGTATGTTAATGAGTAGAAATGTTTGTTGAATTATGCCGTGAGCCTCTTCGTTCACCATTTGCAATTACGATAGAGATCACCAAATGTAATATGTGTCTTTCTGCCAATTTTGCCGATTTGATGTATTTTGAAGGGCTCAAAATCATTTGATAAAAATTACAGCAAAAATCCACTTCATGATTTATTTTCTATTCCTCAGTACATCTTTATAATCGTTATATCGTCGAATTTAATTATCTTTTCAAACCTCAATTACCAGTATTATAAAGGTCTTAGCAATATTCGAAAGTAATTTTGAATTCGTAAGTTTTAGAAGATCATGTAAGGCATTTAGTTTTCACCAGTGTAAAATCATGTCAATTAAACTATATCCGTCTGTGTATACGGCCGTTTGTTGGAATTCCAATAAAGGCGATATATTTAGGTTAATCCCTGAACTACAATATTCCTATAAAGTTAGTTATATCCGTTTCGTTTAGGTATAATAATACCACTAAAAATTCGTGCTTTTTCATGTTTTTGGTACAATTTCTACCGAATTATCTGTAATTTGGCATTTATAGTTTTCGGTATTGTGAAATCAATACCGGCAATAAGGTACGTTGAGGTTTTTATCGGCATGTATAAAAAAAGGAAAATTTCTCGATTTTATTCAATAAGAATTTTCAATTCCAAAAGGCATTTTGAAACAATTATACACAAAACCCAGTTTTTTTTCATTTTCACGATTTTGATGGAGGCTTTTCACAAGATTTTTTTTCATGAAAACGTTTGCACTGTAATTACAAATAACCAAAATAAAAAATGAGTCAAATCGGCCCAGCCGATCTAATATAACACGGTTTGAAAATTGAATGCTTTTAATTTATTTACACGATTTTATTCCATTTAGCACGATTTGAAATTTTA